AGAGGTGAGATCCAAAAGCAGGAGAGAAATCAATGAGAAAAACTCAGCTAGAAATCACACAGATGACAGAATAGAAGAAATCAGAAGGGAAAGTATAAAATATTTTAAAATGAATGAAAACAAACTGCATAAATCAGAATTTATTGGATATAGCCAAAGCAGTGCTTAGAAGGAAACTTATAGCATTAGATTCATATTATAAAAGAAGAAAGATTTAAAAATCAATGACTGGTACAGAGAGGGTATGAGGGAAGTTTTTAAATAATGAAAGTGTAATGTATCCTGACAGTGGTGGTATTTACACAAATTTATACATGTACCAAAATTCACAAAACTAAATATAAAAAATGAATTTTATTGTATGTCACTTTATAAAATTAACTGAGTAGCTTTAAAAAATCAATGATCTAAGATTCCATCATAAGAAACTGTAAAACAAAGAATAAATTAAATTGGAAATAAGCAGCAGAAGGTAAGAAATAAACATAAAAACAGAAATGAATGAAATGAACAGAAAAACAATAGAGAGTAGCAATAAAGTTGATATAATCCTCTTAGCCAAACTGATCAGGGGAAAAAAAAAAAAAATGACCCAAAATATCAATATGATGAATTAGGAGGGAACATCACCACGGATTGTACAGACATTAAAAGGATAACAACACAATATTATGAACAAATTCATGCCAATAAATCTGACAGTTCAGAGGAAATGACACGTTCCTTGAAAGACACAAATTACCAAAGCTCACTCAGGAAGAAATAGACAACCTTGAAAAGTTCTATATCTACCAAAGAAATTGAGTGGTTAAAAACCTTCCCTCAAAGAAAATTCCAGGCCCAGATGGCTTCACTGGTTTAAGGAACATTTAAGGAAAAATTAACTCTAGTTCTACAAAGACTCTTCCAGAAAATTCAGGAGGAAGGAATATTTCCTAATTCATCCCACAAGGTAAGCATAACCCTGACAGCAAAACCAGACAAGAGAATTCCCAGAAGACTACAGACCAGTATCATTCATGAACACAGATGTAAAAATCCTTAACAGAATTTTAGCAAATCAGATCCAGCTATGTATGTAAATGGCCACACGAGGTGTTACTAACCAGGAGTGAACATCACCTGAAAGGATCAGAGAGCTTCCTGGAGAGGTGACTTCTGGGCGGAACCTTGACAGACAAGCAGAATTTCAATAGGCAGTGATGTTGGGGAAGAGAATATGGCAGGCAAAAACACAAATAAGAAGGTGGCAAACTGTCCAGGAGCAGGGTGAATGCCAGGCTTCCAAAGGAGCTCCTTGTCCTGGGAACAGTCCCAGACCCAGGGCTGAGCCCCCTGGGACCAAGTCTGTGCTGTGTGACCCTGTCCCCCAACCATAACTGACTATTCCAGAATTAGACACACCACCAGGCTCAAACAATCAGATTTCTTGCCCAAGAATTTGAAACTCGAATGGAGCCAGACTCCCAGCCTGGGATTTGCTGGCACCAACTCAGACCCCTTAAGGGATGGTCCGTGAACTTTTAATGCTGAAGTCCTGTTGGATGGTTGCTTCCTATCGTTTCCTAGGCTTTTCAGCAATGTCTTGGATCCTGTGAACTGCCCCAGGGGCCTTCCTACAGACTTTCATTTTAGCTTAAGTTGATGAGAGGCAGTTTCTGCTGCTTACAACTGAAAGAACATTAAAGAGTTCAGTGAGTACCATGACAGCAGCTACCAGTTTACCTCTATGAAAAATTTTGTCATTGCATAAAAATTTGAAAAGCCCGGGGCCAGAGCCAAGGATCTGTAAAGGGAAATCCTGGGACTCAGATCAAACCTACCTGACAGGTAGGTACAAGCTGGATACCCCAAGTGACAGGTACAGGAGGGTGGAGTTTAAGGGAGCAAGGCAGGTGCTAAATAAAGGTTTCTGAATGGGGAAAGGATATGATCAAAGCAGTCTCATTGTAAGAAGATTATCTGGCAGTGCTATAGAGGAAGGATTATAAAATGGCAATGTGCCTGACCCCTCAGGGAGGCCGCTAATTAATTAGTGCAGGTAGGAGACAGTGGCCGCTGGAGTGACCTGACCAGACTTCTCTTGCTCCTGTGCCTTTCTCACCTCCAGCACCTAGCCTGGAGCCAGGCACCGAGCAGGCACTCAATTAAAGTCTGCTGATCAGATAGGCTGAAAAGGAAAAATTGACAAAACTTGATGACTAAATTCTGGGATCGAAGGAGGGAAAGAGCTAAAGGTCATGGCAGTTTCAACCTTGGTTGGCAACTTCAACTGAAACAGAAATGGCAGGAAGTGTGACCAGGTTGGGGTATATTTATGGGTTATGAGTGCAGTGGTGGACAGACTATTACAAGGTATTGCTGAAACACCTGAGTCTCCAGCATGTAACCAGTAGGAGCTAAGACTGCAGAGCCAGAACGAGGAGGTCATAGAGCACGGGGGCTGGGAAGTGGTGGGCGTTCATGGGGAGGAGCCGGTCAGCCTCATGGAGTTTGGTTCATCCTTAGTAACCGAGGCTCCTGTGTGCCAGGCACCGAGCCATGAGCTGGAGGGGACCACAGAAGCCATGGCAGTGAACAAGACAGTGGAGGGAAATGTCAGCAGCAGAATTTGAAGCCTTCTTTTAAAAGTCTGAGGCTGGATTTGGACTTGCACCTGAGTGGAGTCAGCATGGTTCGTCCCGTCTACAGTAGGCAACGCCTGGAAACGGTCTCAGCGCCGTTCAGGAGGGGATGGCGGAACAGCTGATGGCCCAGACGTATGGTCAAAAAGAACAGGCAGTTCTGCATGGACATGAACCCACGTGTTGACACACGATGATGTGAGAAGAGAAGGTAAAAAACTGACATATGGGCACCTCCATTTACGGTTAAGTGGGGTAGTCATAGAAACAAAACCACATATACTCCCACTTGGGTTTGCTCAGCTATCTTTAAAAAGACACACAAGAAACCGGTAGCATGAACTGCCTTTGAAGAGAAGGGCTGGGACCAAAGGTAGGGGGGGATACTGTTTTCACCATGCATTCTCCTGCCACCAATCAGCTTATTTATCATGATTAATGATTTAAGAATAAATAGTTTGTTGAGTGCACTTTAGTATCTCTAGCCATAGGCTGTCTTAGTAAAAATCGACTCCACCTAGTCCCCAGTAAGCTTATGAGAAACCTACTCAAGCATCCCTTGATGTGATGTCTCATCTATGCCCTTGGTAGGGGCTAGAAGGAATATTCCTAAATTCTTCTGTGAAGAGATTCTGACGCGGAGGTTTCAGCCCTGTGTCAAGGTGGGGCTGGGGGGACATCAGTGATTATTCCGAGGAGTCGGCAGTGACAGCGTGAATGAAGGAATCGGAATGCGACCTGACAACGCCATAGGAGCTGGATCCTGGCCACACAGCCTCAACAGGGGAAGCCAGCGAACCACACCTTTCTTCAGAAAGGAAACCTACGCTTCCACAAAATCCACCCAGGGTCTATTTTAGCTCTGAACCCAGAGCAAGAACATCAAGTATTATAAATAGCAAAACCAAGATTGCAATTTGACTGATTTCAGTTCTGATGTTAGGAAAGAGGTCGATGCTAAGTCAGTTGTAAATCGAGGGGTCGAAAGAAAACCACAGTGTGAACACAGTCATACGGGGTTAGGCAGCCAAAACTTTAACCTCCCCGCCTTCCCCCATATTGCCTGAGTAACCAATTCCTGTGGCTTCATCGGTAGAAAATCACCTGAGAAATTCTAACGAGGCTGAGGAGTTTTGTGAGAATCCACCGAAGCCAGAAAGGAACCCCTGCGTGGAACGCGCCTCTCCTTTCCCTCTGGGCAGTGGACGGGAAGGATGCTACTGAGGACTCGAGGACAGCCGGGAAGGCAGCGAGGCGCACAAGCTCACCTTTATTATGCGACATGGCGTAGAGGAGGCAGAGCACGAAGAGGGCATGGTAGTCGTCATCCGGGCTGTCCAGGGCGTGGTACACCATATCCAGGAAGGGTCTGGAAAAGAGGAGGGGCGTATATGAGCCCCGTGGCACATGTGGGTGAACACCTCCCCTCTCCCACCTGCACATGGGGCACAGCTGCCCTTGCCTCTCACAGCTCTGCACTCGTTTAGGCCACCTGCGTGTAGAGTCTACTGTGTGCCCAGCTCAGCACTAGGCACCGAGGACACAAAGACGAATGAGAGATAGGCTCTTCCCATGCAAAGCTGCTATGTAGAGGGGAAACTGAACAAGGAACAGATCACTTAGTCACTCAACAATCATGCATCAGGTGTTCTAGACACTGGGGACAATTGATACAAAGTCCCTGCTCTTTGGTGCTTCCATGCCAGTTGGCAGAGACAGAACAGACAGCCAGCACTCCAAAATGATGTGTGTCACAAGAGAATGAAGAAGATGAGCAGTGTGATAGGCATAAACAACAATCTGAACAAGTTCAAGAACATGGGCCCTGGGGCTAGACTGTTTGAGTTCAAATTCTGATTTTTCCTCTTCTAAGCTGCAAACCTTTAGGCAAATTACTTAAAACTTCTCCATTTCCCCACCTGTATGATGGGAATGAGAACCTTGCGGGGTTAATGGGAGGATTCAAGTGCAATGATGACTGAGAAGCATTTAGCACAAAGCCAGATTCTGTGGAAGGTGCCAGTACCTGGGAGCAGCTATTTGATTTCTATTTTTAATATTCCAAGGGCACTTCTCCATGCTTTCACGTTGGCAGGGTCCTGGCCTAGCAATTTTTTGGACCGACTTTCCCTGACTGGTAAGAATCGATAGCAAGGTCTCTCACCTCTGATGCTTTGTGGGCGAGATCTATAGAGTGGCTGCAAATACCGGAAACCGCACACACCAAATGCTGCCCTTCCAGGTGAAGGGCTGGCCAGGAAGGTCCCCTCAACACAAAGATAATAGAACATGCACAGATCTGGCCGTAGGCAGGTGGCTCTGATCCCATGACCATCTGCGGCTGCCCCCTCTGGATGCTGGGCTGAGGCCAAGAGAGCAGAGCACCTCAATGGGTGACTAAGGGCACATTTAATCCCTGGAAGGACACACAAGCTACTATCAACATCAGTCGCCTATGGAGACTGAAACTGGGTGGGGTGGAGAAACAGGGAGACTCTTTGCTAACTGAACCTTTGATACTTTTTTGGATTTTGAACTCTATAAATGTACCACCAGTATAAAATATTAAATTGAAAAATGCAAAAGTAGTGAAAATGTACTTGTCTTATCATTTCAAATAAACATGAGACACACAAAATTTTTTTTTAAAAAAACCTTAAAGGGGATATTTATGTTTGGTGCCTGTTTCTCCAGAGCCCTAAATGGGTCAGCGCCTTTCAGATGTGTTAATAGTTTTGCCATGTGTAGATCTGGGATTTTGACAGTTCCTCCAGCAATAACACTTTAAACTTAAGAGCAAGATAAAGTATAAAACGTTTTATTGTAAACTAGCAGCTTGAAATGTGGATTATATTTTCGTTTGAGAATAACATTAACAATCAAATGCCAATAGCAGCGGGAGGGTTGGGTGGATGTATCAACTTTATAAGATGAAATGTTATAAAGCTATTAAGCATTTTGCTTTCTAAGAGTATAACAAAGTGAGAAAGATGCTCAGGGTTTGATATTAGATAGAAAAAAGAAGGAATAAAAACAGATAGACATGGAATGGTCCAAGCCACTAGGGGAAGGGAAGGCAGAATTCCCAGAAAGTTGACGCTAAAAAATACTGGTAAGAAATAAATAAAATGGTAGTAAAAGTTGCCTTTGAATGCTGGTATCATGGAGACTTTTTCCTCCTTCTTTATACTTTTCAAGATTTTTCATTTTCTAAATGGGTTTTATTTTCACAATATTTAAAAGGTTTAAGAATAATTTTTCTTACAAAAACCAATATTTTGAATGTTTCTCATTTCTTAGGCTTGTATTTAATGCTGAATGCAGATACAGCCCATAATATATGGGGAATATAAGAAGAATCTACTTTTTACTATGTTGTTTCTTAGGGCAAGTAGACCAACATGACAATCCAATTCACATCTTAGAGAAAAAATGGCCACATTCCCTTATCCTCAGCACCCTCCCTGCCAGGAAACCAGGGTCAGAGGATGTAGCAGTTTCTCACAACCAGCAACCCTCCACCCCGGCCAGTCTCTCCCCTGGCCTTCAGCCTCAGAGAAGCGGAGATGAGGTCCAGAGGTCCCGGGGCCTGCATGTGGCCTAAGTCAAGGCACCTGAATCAGCTTCCATGATAAGCTATGTGGTCAAAAATGCCCAAAGTTAAGAAACAATCCCAACCAACTCTAAGAAAATCCCTTTCTTCCCTAAAATCCAAAAAAAAAAAGAAGTTATCAACCCCAATCTTCAAACATAACACTTTGGTCTGGTTTTTTCCTCTTTTGGGAGGGTGAAGAAATACCTGGGTTTTTTTCTTCCTTTAGCAAAGCTATAGTATTACCATACAATGCAAAATATGTGCTCTGTTTCCATTTATTAGATTCTAAGAAAGCGAACCCATCATGACAGTATTCACCTAAAAGCAGCGCCTAATATTCTAGTAAGCAGATACACCTGCAGTTGCTTAAGCATCCTCCACGCTAGTCACTGGTGGCTTTTCCAATTATTCATATTTTAACAAATGCTGTGCGCCAAGGTTGCCCCCAAACTTCTGTATTTAGAACGACTTCCTTAATTTTCAGAGCTTCGGGAGTAGTTACATTTTTTGCTGCCAAGCAAAATCAAAAAGGCCTTTATATAAGTTATAACAACTGATAGCTCACATCATACTCCAATGGTTTTTTATTTAACAAAACCTAAAAATGGCCCCCTTGCACATCTGTTAAAAATTAATCCCATCTGTTAGATAATTGAAATATTTGCCAAGCAAAGAGACAAACAGGATGTAGAAGGAAAAATCAGTGGGTTTCAACTCTTCACTTCAAGTTGTGTTAATGAATAGGATGGACTGTGTATTTCTACCACCCCACCCTAAGGGTTCGGGAAGTGAATGCCTCGTAGGCTGACAGAGAAACCCTATTGTGCATTTGTTAACTAACACTAAGGTAGTGTTAATAAGGAAGTTATTTCAGGCATCTGTGCAGTGGGCCACTTGATAAGGAAATAACTGAGATGAGGACCCCTTCCTAACAGTTCCCTGCATACTTGGAAGTAGCCTTCCACCCAGTGCCATTGTGGAGGGGTTGGTGCTCCAGCAAGGTTCTGGGACTTGTGGAGTTGCCAAGGTTTAAGAAGATGTAGCCACAGCCGGCCGTCACTGAAATGAACAAACAGCCACAAAGGCAACGGTGGACAGCAGCATCCAGTCGTGCCAGCTGCGTCATGAGGGCAGGCCCTAGGGACGGTGGGGTGCGTGGCCGTGAATGACCAGGCAGGGCCATCCAAGCCCGGCTCCCAAGGGCATCCTTCCTGGGAGCAGCACAGCGTCTCCAGAAGTGGCCAGTGGGAAGTGCAGCCCACGTCCTTAAGATGCGGCCCAGCTCCAAAGTGCTCTGGGTGTGGTGCTGCCCTATCCTGGCCAATCTCTTTCCAAGAGGTGAGCACTAAGCGTCGAGTGACGGCTCTGTCCACGTGCCTCTTGAGAGGAGCCATGCCTCTGGGTGGCCCGAGACTGCAGAAGCTGGGAAAGGAAAGGAGGCAGCACGACCTGGCTGGGAGACAGAAGAGGCCCTGGCCCACGCACTCAACCTTCCCGCCGAGCCCATCTGCTCTTCCCAAGACCATGCTGGGCAGGGCGGTGCAGCTACCTGCTCCACTGCGCACTCTCGTAGCTCGTGGCCGCAGCACTCTTCTCCTCGTCCGTGGTGTTCTGCTCCTGCACAGAGGTGCTGGCAGCCAGCTCCGAGAGCTTGCTGCGTTCCATGATCACCATCTCGATCTCTGGAAGCCAACATGAAGACCAGGATGAGCCCAGACAGCTTTACAGACCTAGATTTATACACATGCTCATATTCAAGAATAGTACGCATAAATCACTCCTAACGCGTCAAGCAAATGTCCAACAGTGGTGATCCGAACACCAGCAACACACTGGGGAAGAAATACAACGGAGGCCAGAACCTCTCTTTCCACTCATCTCGTCAACACCAAGAAACGTTTTGATAACAAAACACAAATTGCAATCACTTATTCTATTTCAAGATTTTAAAAAGATATCTGTTTTACTCTGCTGATACCACATTTCCTTCCCAAAGGATTTGAGGCAGCTGAGAAGACAAGATACGTGGTTAGTAAACATAACCAAACTCACTGATGATATTCTGGAGCTGCTAACATTTTAGAAACGGCTCTGATGTGACTGCAGCCTTCCCTTTTCCACGTGCAACTTCTGGAAGGCAGAGAGAGGTTAGGAACCGCGGGGTTCCCCCGCCTCCAATTAAACAAGGGCAATTTGTACCAACCAACTTAAGCATGTGTGCATTTTTATTTTTCAGAAAAAGTTATGAACCACTAAAGAAAAACATCTTGAATTAAAGTTGGATGGTGGTTGGGCTTCACCGTGTCCCTGTCACAGAGTTCTCTGCCATGTGGGTGTGGACTTTCAAACAGTCAGTCCTTGGAACTCAGAGTTCAGGTCATTATTTAGGTCATTTTCCCCATCTTCAGGAGATATTATAGGGGAAAAAAGATGATGAAATGTGAACCTACATTTCTGTTTCTGGAAGAATGAGAATGTATAACTTGGGCTCAGACATGGCCTCCACCAGGGCCTCCAAACTGGCCTCTGTTTCCTTTCTTGCTCCCCTAGTTTGTTTGCCACACTATCCCAACGTGCTTAGAAGGAAACTAAATCATGTCACATGTCACCCTTCTGTTCAAAACTCCCAATGCCTTCCCATGGCACTCAGGACGGAATCCTAATGCCTTCCCAGGGTGCAAGCCTGGTCCCCATCCACCTCTGACCTCACCTCCGGGTCCTTTCTGCCTTGCTGGCTCTTGCCACGCCTGCTGTGCTGGGCGTCTCACTGTGTCTTCAACACCCAAGACTGTTCCCACCCCAGGAACTTCACACAGCAGTTTCCTCTGCCTGGAAGGCTCTCCCCCAGGTCTCTCCTGCCCAGGGAGTGCATCACTCAAGTGCATCACTCAAGGCTCAGCTCAAATGTCACCTCCTTGGAGACATCTTGGATGCCCACTCCACCCATTTTTTTTTTACCTCTTTTAAAATTATTCTTAATTAAAACTCCACACTTTCTTCATATTTCATTAAATTTTCCCCAACATCCTTTTTCTGTCCAAGATCAATGGTTGAATTTAGTTGTCATGCTTAGGCTCCTCTGGGCTGCGACAGTTTCTCAGACTTTCCTTGCTTTTGACGACCTGCACAGTTTGAGGAGTCCTGGTCAGGGATTTTGAAGAGTCCCTCAATCTGACTTTGTCGGATGTTTTTCTGATAATTAGACTGGGGTTATGGGTTTTGGGGAGGAAGACCCCAGAGGGGAAGTGCTTTCCTCATCACACCATATCAAGGGCTCACACTGCCAACATGATTTATGATTGCTGATGTTAACCTTTAATACTTCGCCAAGCTAATGCTGATCAGCTTTCTCCACTGGAAAGTTAGTTCTCCTCCTCCTTCCATACCACACTCTGCGGAAGGACGTCAGTCAGCAGGTCACATTAAAGAATGGAGAGTTATGTTCTACTGTAAGTATCTTACACAAATTATTTGTGTAATTATTTGTGAATTCTTCTATATGAGAGACTTGTCCTCCTTCCCCCTTTACCTTGATTTTACTTCATAGCATTTGTAACTACCTGGATTTTAAGTTCTCTACTGTGTTGCTTGTTTGCTGCCTGCCTTCCTCCACTAGAACTGGGGCGTCATAAGAGTAGCTGCCTTACCTGTCTTATTCTCCACTGTGTCTCCAGTGGCTAACGCATGGCCTGGCACAGAGGAGGTGCACAATAGGTATCTTTGTAACAGATAAATGGATGCTGCTCTAGCCCAATGCGGGAAGTTTTGGCAGCAGGCAGGGCTGGCAAGGATTTATGGTGGCTGTGACGTGAGGCAAGGGTGGGCCACAGCCCAACAGCATCTGAGATCAGTGTGTGCACAAAGTGTTCTCAGGGGGAGACATCCCATCCTCCCCGCCACTCTGCCCGGACCGCTAGGCATGACTGCGCTTGCAGCCTCCCCTGGCATAGAGGAATGCAACCCCGGTGTCCACGTGGGCCCTGGCCCTCTGCAAGGCTCACGCTTACCCTTCCCTCCCAATCTGATCTGAAGTCAGATGCCGCAGATGGGAGTCTCCCACAGGGCGGGACCTCATCACACAAGTGGGAGCCAACAGATGCTTTCTACATGGCGTGTGGACAAATGTTTTGTTTGCATAGTTGTGCATTTATTTCATTGTGTGTTAGAAGAAAATTATAGCTGCACAGAAAACCTTTTGTGGATATTACTGCATAGAATGAGGCTAAATTTCAGGAAAAAAAACAGTGAGTCAATTCAAAGAAAGCTATTGGGTAAACAGTAATACAAGTAGCACTCTGATACGGCAGAGAGCAGGAAGGTGGTGTGGACGCTGTCAGGAAACATCATTGCTGCCTTTCCTTGCGCCTTCTCCTCCACCAACCTCCTTCGGGTGCCCATTTGCCCTCCTAACTACCTTGGTTTCCCCAAAGTGGGTGCAGACACCTCAGTGGTACGCAAGAGCCAATAGGTCTTTTATTTTTAACTCTTCTCATCTTTTAAAAATCTATTTTGTTTTATGCTGTCCATAACATTAGCACAGTACAAATATGTAAAATTTATAATAAATAAATGTATATGTATTGGGGAGATGCACGCTTAAAGTCTGTATGTATTTGCCTGTTTGTGTTTCCTGATGAGGCGTGCCAGCAAGACTATGAAGCCAGCCTCCCCCTTGTCTCCTGGCCTCTGGCCTCTGCCCTGTGACCATAGGTCCACCTCCCCTGCAGCTGCCAGCTCCCCTTTTCCAGGCGCAGCTCTGTCCCTGCCTGGCTGACAGAGTGGGAACTCACCTCTGAGACTCCCTAAGGTTACAGGGTCAAGCCCTAGTGCCTTAGCCTGGAGGCCAAGTCTGCTAAGACATGGTTGTCCCCTTTCTGGCTTTTGAATTTCCCGGGACACCATCAGAATTCTGGAGCAGAGGAGGAGTTAAAGATAACCCAGTCTAGCGCTCATCTAATGTTTTAAGCAGCTGATTTTTTTTTCTTTTTTCTTTTTTTTGAGACCGGGTCTCACTCTGTCGCCCTGGGTAGAGTGCAGTGGCATCATCTTAGCTCACTGCAGCCTCCAACTCCTGGGCTTAAGCGATCCTTCTGCCTCAGTCTCCCAAAGTGCTAGGATTACAGGTGTCAGCCACTGTGCCCAACCTGCATATTAATTTTGAATGATGATTTTCTGGGGCACACCACCACAGTAAGCAGAGGAGAGCAGAGTTGCTCTAGATAAAGGTTGGTGGGTACCAAGCATCTCTGACTACTCCACGGAGGCTCCTTTCTGGAATTCTGGGGCTTCACACAAAACTGTCTGAAAGCAAGTGGTTTGGTCCAACCCTAGATACTGTATGTGAGAGAACAGAAACCCTGAAGTGTGGTGACTCTTAATACGGCTGGAAATGCAGCACTGAAACCAGGACAGTTCCCCCTTCCCCACTCCCACAGCACACCCTGGGGCAGGACCAGGCCCACGAGGGCCTCTCCGCACAGAATGAGGATTCCGAACCTCGCTCATCCAGACGGCACAGCTGTGGAATGAGCTGTTCCACCTAGATTAATCTTCTAGATGAATACAGATCAGTTCTTCAAATGTCAAAACAGGTTTTCACCCCCTTCTTTTTAACAATTGTATCCAAACAATCCTTTAATGTACCGGTTCTTACCTAGGGTCTGCCAGCTCCCTCAACCTGTATGCAAAACGCTCCATGCGCATGGGAGTGGCAGGTGGTAGGTTTTAGGGAGAAGCTCTCCCCAGATTCTCACTGCTCTCATGGATTCTACAGTCATCTCTAAAAGGGGATGCCAAAGAGGGTTTGATCTTTCCTGATAACTCATGGTCACAGTGAACCACACCAGGACTGTGCTGCTTCTGGGCCCCAGCTACCACTTGTCCCTACCTCAGTGTGGCCTAGCTTCCCTGCTAGGGTGCATGTGCCATGCTGCTGCCACCAGAAAGGAAGCTCAGTGGGCTGATGTGGACACAGATTTCTACTGATGGTCACTGAGACTGGGACTGAGGCTTTGGGGATGGATTCCTGGGGCCTCCATCTGAACCCCAGTTGTTACACTATGAGCCATCTTTCCTCACCAGCCAGGATTCCATTTTGGAGTTTGAAGGAACTGTAGCAATAATTTAGCCTTGTTTTGCTCAAACTTCAGTTATTTGCTTGCCTTTAAGATTTTTGTCATGTCTATTGTTGCCTGTACGATTGGTTACGTCATTAATCATTTTATTTGAACCATCTCACTTTTTTCCCACTTAAATACAGTTTAAAAGGAAACTTTAAATCACTATCATACCCTTCGGCCTAGCCGTCCACTTGGTATTTATTGGGAAGACAAATCCCCAACAGCATGGAAAAGCACAGGCAGAGGGTATTCACTGCAGTGTTATCTGTAACTGCAAAGCTCTGGAAACTACCTAAATGTCCCGGCCTGAGAGCCTGGTGGAATGAACTACGGTCCGTACACACAGTGCAGCTGTAAAAAGGAATGAGGAAGCCCTCTGATGACAGAGTAATTTCCGGTGATGTTGCTAAGTGAAAGAGCAACATGCCAAAGGACACATATAGTATGCCACCCTGTGTGTAAGAAAGAAAGGAAAAGAAAACACATGCAAATCTGCTATTTTTACAAAAAGAAACATAGGAAAGACACTCCAGAAGACAATCGAGTTGGTTATCTACAAGAGA